GGCGGCGGCGGCGGCGGCGGGAGCAGTGGCTGAGCCCCCCCCGCTAGCTAGATGTCCAGCGTTAGGAACGGCCGTTGAGAAAGAGGGTGGTGGGTGGATCGGGACGAAGCGGCTGCTGTCTGCTGCGCCGCCACCGCTGCTTCCTGAACCGCCGCCGGCTTGCCGCTGAGACGACGGCAGCGCCGTAGGCGATGACTCGTCTCTGTGGTCACCGTTGTCTCGCTCCTCCTCCTCCTCCTCCTCCTCCTCTTCCTCCTCCTCATCTTCCTCCTCTTCCTCTTCTTCTTCCTCCTCGCCCTCTCCATTGCCAGCTTCTCCCTGCCCGCCTTCCTCCATCACGTCCTCGGAGGGTAGCCTCAAAATCTGCAACCAACGCAAGCAGCAAGCACAGGGAGGCGGTGTACTCATAGCCGTGCATGCCGTAGTCGCTAGACCGTTGTCCCCGCATCCCTACAAAGCCGGGACGGAGCAGAAGGGTACTTATCAATTATCCACAAACGGCGTCAGAACAAACACAAAGGGAAACACCCGGACAGGGGCCCCGCGACATGAACTATTGCAGCACTAGCGTAGGCGAGCACCTGCGCCGGAGGCAGATCCCCGTCGGAGCTGTCGTCTCCGTCCGAGCTATCTTCCTCCTCCTCCTCCTCTTCCTCCTCGCTGCTGCCTTGCACGCCATCCTCTTCCTCCTCCTCCAGCTCGTGGTCACCGGCGGATGAGCCTTCCGCGGCGTCCCCCGCCGGATCTTTGTCCCCGCCGTCGTCGCCGCTGCTGCTGCTGCTGCTCCACACGCCCTCCTCCTGCCCGCTACCCTCGTCGTCTTCGTCCATGCGTTCCGCCATAAACAGCCGGCGGCTGCTGCTACTATTCAACTAGGAGAGCGCGTCAAACAAGGGGGGGGTAGTTTTAGGGGGGGCGGGGCGGGTTTCAAAATACGACGGGTAAGGTTGTGAGCGCGTGGTCTGGGACACGCATGTACCCAAAAGGCGGTGACTGGTAGAGATGGAGAGTACCAAAAACGCACTGCTGCTGAACGCAAATGTAGCGTAGATTGCCCGGTATTACGGTGGGACGCTGTCATCGCGCCCATGTGGGAGACATCGAATGACAGTAGTCTTGGGAGGTGTTTACTGCTGTAGCTCTTGCCGCGTAGACTACTGTACACGTGTGGAGAGCAGATATTACGCCCTATGCCGAGTGGCATACGGGGTGTACGAACCAGCTGTACTGCATGACGCCCGACCACACGTGCTCTCGTTTCCCTGTGCCAAGGGGGGAGAGCTGGCACCGACACGACGACGCGTCGCTTTGGAGAAAAAAATAGTATCCGCAACGCTCTTCACGGCCAGCGCCGGAAACAACCCCAATGCAAGAGGCAGCAGCAGCAGCAGGCTGGGCTGTCGGCGTGGTTGTGGTTGCGTACGCTACCCGTAGCTGTAGCAACAGCGAGCAGCAGACTACTATTCGGGAGACGACGGTACCACTGCTATCTACAGTAGTCATATGCAAAAAACATCAGTTGTGAGACAGATTTGATCCCAACAGCAAGGCTTGGCTCGGGATTCCGAAAGATACGGCATTCAAATTCCAGAACAGGGTAGGGCCTCACTCAGCAGCTGCGCCAGCAGCGGCAAGCAGCGTCGCCTGTGCTGTGCGACCATGGATACACGAGATGCCTACAGCTGTACAGCACCGCACTGGTATCACTTGGTTCTTGGATGTGGCTTACTAGACCGTCAACAACCATCCCTGGCGTTCTATCCGAAGCGCATTGCTCCAGCAAGGACGCGGACACCGTGATGAACGATGGCTCTCTCTGTCCCAATTTTCGTCTTGTGTGTGTGCGCGACAGAGAGCGGCGGCGACAGAAACCACGCATCAACGACCATTTTTAAAAAGGCGCAGCAGTCCCAGATACAGCTGTAGATCCAATCGATGCCTGTCATGTGCCAGGCCCTGAAAGTCGCGGTCGAGCAACCAAAAACGTGTACCTGCTGGGGCGGTCTCCGCACGCTTGCTTTCCGTCTCACGAAAAGGACCAAAAAGTACACACGGTCCACTGGCTGATGCTCTCTCACAAGGACACCACGTTCGTATCTGTCTCTCTCAAAAGGGGTGTGTGGGAGCGCCCGTGTTGCCTCGCTTACACGTCCACTCACATACGGGTAGAACCTCTCGACTCCACGCAGTTCGGCTCTGGTCGTCCCTCCACAAGAAACAGGACGGTTGTCTGCAAGCCTCTGAGCTGGCGGTGTAGATCTAACACCCGAACTGCAGAGAGAGAAGAGAGGAGGCAAGCGATCGAAGCGAGAGGCAAGGGGGCCAACGCATGATAATCGCACGTACGGGTGCATTCTCAACCATGCTGCCTCCTGGAGGCTGCCGCTCTGCTGCACTCTGCAATCTCAGATCTGCACCCTGGTACGTTCACGACACACACCGACACGTCGGCGCAAAAATGATGTGTGTACAGCTATCGAGGCCCTCGTTGCTGAGTTTGGTTGCAGCCGGTCTCCTGACCCCTTCCAGAGGCATCGCTGTCGGCAACTGCGGTGAGAGGTTATGCGGCGCAATGTGACGGCGAGATCATGAGCTCATGAGCTCATGAAACACTACGGCCGTGCCGGTGTGTTGTGTGCCTTGCGTCGGCATGGGTGTAATCTGTTGTTAGCTTTATCACACACGGGGCTGTTGTTAGGTACCGTGGGTCACTGTATGACGACACGTCCTGGTTTCGCTGTCGTTCGGCGATTCTCTCGTACTTTGTCGTGCGTGACACTGACATGATGCAGTGAAATCAACAGCGCGAGCGGGAGAGGACAGCGGTGCGTTGTTTGAACTGCTACATACGGCAGCAGCAGCACGCCCACACTTAGACCAAGGTGTTGTACTACAGCAGTCGTAGCTGCTCGGTATGTATTGAAACGAATACCACGTCTCAACCCCAACTTAGATCGACAATAATGCTGCTACTGCTGTGTAGACTGGTCGCACCACCAAACTGCTGTATCCCGCTCCGCTACATAGACTATCGCAGCACGACTTTGTTCTTTGTTTCGCCACAACCAACAATATAATATGCCCAGCATCCCGCCCACCCAATGCAAAGGCTTCAACACACACCCTTAGGCTGCTGTGGTGTTGTCTCTCGAACGGTCACTATTTTATGTGTCTGTATGCATAATTTCATATTTTCAACAGCAGCAGGTCTCCGAGGCTCTCTCTTCTACGCGGCGCGGGTGCCGCCGGTCTCGCCGCCTCCTTCGGCAGGGGACCACCGACACCACCACCACCACCACGAGCGGCGGCACCGGCGGCGGCGCTTGGCCCCCGGCGGCGGAAGCTGGAGCGGCGGTACGCACGGCCTGCGGCTTCTGTCTTCTCCTTCGTCTGGCGCGCACGAGGGGGAGACGGGGCGAAGAAGCAGCGGGAGTAATGAGCAGCAGGAGCGACATCAGGGTGGCGGACGTAGCGGTGATGGTGGTACGCGCAGGACACATGACACGGGACGACCGTCTTCGTCGCTTCCCGCTCGGCAGCGGGAGGCGCGAACGCGTCGGCACAGGGGAAGGCAAGGCGGCGGCTGGGGCGGTGACGGAGACCGACAGGAGGACTGGGGCGGCGACTCGGGCAGGAGCCTGGTTGAGGAGGAGAGGGAAGCGCAGGAGGTGCAGGTACGGGAGGGGGATAGCGGCCGGCGGCGTCGTGTGGCGAGAGTTGCGTTGGTGGTGGTGGTGGTGCGTGGAGGGCATTGACAACTGGCGAGTGTTGGAGGTGGGGTGACGAGAGGAGGATGGGAGGAGCAGCGTTGATGATTAAATGGCATATAATTTACCATGTTTTTTTTTCTCTGCGCCTCGTGAAATCGTGAAATCCTCCTGCGCGTGTATCACCGACGCTAAAGGGTTAACATCCAAATAGCCTGTCTTAAATCTATGCTGGTAAAATCAGAGCGCCCACCAAGGGCGCCGTTTTGTACCCTCGTCTATAGTAGCTACATGGATTTGGCACATAATGTTCACATTTTGTTGTCAACCGCTCTGAGACTCACGTCTTTTCATTGGCCGGTTGGCGTGATCGATGCAAAAAACTAAGAGACACAAACACATGTGCATCGTGGTGGTATGTTTTAGTCCTCCCGCCACACCCACACGCTTGCCAAATGAACAATTCAGCAGACGCTCAACATACACGAATGGACGAAGCACCCCTCTGGACTCCTCTATGTGTTGGGATACTACCGATGCCACCGGAAGTTTTTTTTTCTTGGCGACTCTCACCCTCCATATTCATGCATACGAGTCGTAGAGGGCGCGCGACGCTTCGCGCTTGGGGTGTGCGGTGCTTGCCCCGGCGGGCGCAACGTCGACACCCCCCTCCGCCCCCCTTCCTGACCCACGAGCAAAGGGTGTAAAATGTTTGGCAGACGCTCTTCGGCCACGCTGCGGCCATGAATGGTATTGTCTGCACCCCTTCCGCTTCCTCCACCCGTCCCGCCGTGGTGATTTTGCCGTGTTGTCCGTTACCATGTTAGTCGCCCGCTTGCGCGTCGCAGCGCGACCACTTTCATGCGGCATCCAGGTCACCAGTCGCACGGTCTGTCGTTCATGTATAGATTGCCAGCCCAACTTGACTAGCCCGATCGAACCACGTCAAAATGCTGTGGCTCTGGGGACGCCCCCCACCCCCCTACCTACAGCCCAATTGTTCTTGCCCTAGATCCTGACATACTTTCCTTCGCTTTCGGCCCGCCTACCTATCTCGCCAAACCTACCCCACCGCACCTAACAACACGAGTTGTAGTTGCCGCCTCTTGACCCCCCCGCCCTCTAACAACGACGGCATGCGCGACTATGAGTTCACCCCCCCAACTCCCCTCGGGGACGCGTGGGCAATGGTCTCACCGCTAAGGCATGAGTGCGCCCCCTCCCTCATGGTCCTGTTGCCCTGGCCTGGATCTGAATTTCTTTTTTTCGATCCGAAACAGGGCGCCGTGGCGTTGGCGGCGGCGAAGCGAGGCCCCGGGGAGCGGGGACGGCTGGTGGCGAGCGAGTCGCCGGTCGAGGAGTTCGTCATCAGGGGGAGGCGTGTTTTGGTCAAGAGGGACGACAAGGTGCGCCGGCGGTCTGTGTGATGTGTGCAAGGGCCCTCCATGTGGAAACCATGGAAGACTT